AATATGCGACAAAGACATGTTGCCGACACATGACCACCAGGTACCTCTGTAGTACCTCAGTGTCTGCACCCCATTGCCAGAGAATTGTTTCCTTCCCCGTGTAATCCCCGTGTTTATTTGTCTGGTACATTTGGCATGTTGCGGGCTTTCTTATAAATAGCCTCTCCTCGGCCTGAATTGTCAACAGCATGTGGTATTTTTAGTGAAGGGAGGATTAGGTGTTTAGTGACCCGTGGGGATTTGGTTAGCAGGTTTATCTGGCCTGATGTGACTTGAGATGATCGGTCTGGAAATGACCCCGCAAACATCCACGTAGGTAAGATCAGCCTTTTTCCACTGGAGGCATGCCAGGTACGGGGACAGCGACGGTACGCCGTGTTGCTCCGTGTCCCGGTGGGTTTGTGAAGCGCTGTGTTTCTCCTCTATTGGCATGTGATTTCTATGTGTGGACTCCTCTGGGTTCTGGGTTCTGTACATGCAGATACTTATTTCCTGTTGGCCTTAATGTAAATCCTCACAGGTAAAACTCAACCTCACGTCACCTCATTTGACTTCGTTCCTTCTTTCAGATCCTAGTTTAAACATACATCCAGGACTTGGCTCATATTTACTGGCGTAGCATTTGGGACACGCACTTCATACATGAGAGGTTAAAGTTAGTTTGTAGGACAAACCATTATAGCAGTAGGGCTTATCATACTTTAAATTAATTTGCACTTCATAATCTCTGCCAGTCTCTCTGTGTCTTTCACCTGTTTTACGTGTGTAATCACTCACCACTTCTATATTAGCTTTCTGCACATCTAAAGTCACTGGCCTCACAAGGACAAAAAGGCCGACTTCACCCGTCCTTCCTCCCCACTGGCATGGCCATCTACTCTTTAATCAGCCCTGTGATTCAGACAGAGGCCCTTTGTTTTTGCCGATTAATTGCTATTGATAGGATGTTGCAGAAATAGAAATCTGTAGAGATGCTTGCAGATTGTTGAGCAGCTTTGGTTGTGTCTACCTAGGAAGCTTGGTTCAACATTGTCCACAACACCGTGAGATACATTTTTCTATTTAGATGGAAGTACTCCAGGTGTTAAAATGGCTGAAAGTCTGTACATCTGTGGGAAGGCTCAAAAACTGCTGTTTGTAGATATTCTCCATCGACTTGCAGCTGTAATTGCAGGGAACGGCCGTTGCACATTAGTGAATGTTCTAGTTAATGTTTCCTTTGACCGTAAAAGTGCACAAATTTGCTTAATTAATATTACTCATTGAAACATAATTACACTTTTTGCACATTTTAACAAAACCATGCGAGTATTTACAACCATCATTCATTTGCTCGCAGTTATCAGCCTCACCTGTACGCCCCTGCACAACTGCCTTATTTGTAGTGTTAGAATAACATATCGGCTTTGTTCTTTACATCACACTATAAATAAATATGAATAACATCAGATGAATGTCACGTGTGTGTTTTTTTTTTTAACTTGACTGAGTCCCAAGTTGTGATCTTCATGTGACTGCTTTGAAGTCCTCTTACACCCACAGGAATTATAAACTAAATGACCTCAGTGAGTTATTTTGCCAACAGTTGAACAGGAGCAATGCAGAAAGTTGTCCCAGAGTCGTATTTTGCCAAGCGTTCATAGATTTTCAGATGATTTTTGCTGTACGGAGGCCAAAGCAGCCTTGATTATTATCTACCTTCTCAGGGACAAACTCGCGTGAGAGCGTTGTTTTTCTCCCTTCACGGTCGGTTGTAAGTGATTTGCTTGATGATTAAAGATTCAATATCGGTTTTTCTTAACCTGTTGATGGGTAAGGTGATGTCAGGAAACCTTCTCTTTGACCTCAAATGAGTTGTAACTTTCTTCTGCTGCGGTTGCCTGAACCTCCAGCATGTTTCGTTTTCAAAGCTGCACTCTGTGTGCGTCACTGCTGGACAGATTCAAATCTAACCTCTTGGTTCTGATCCTATCGAGAAATGTTGTCTAGCTGCTCGGATGTTTTGTGGTGTGCTGGCTGCATTCCAGCCTCCTGCCACCTGCATGTGTGGGCAACACTTAAAAAAGTACCCTGTTCAAAAAAGCTGGAAAGATACTTTTTTTTTTATGTTGTAAATTGCAACAAAGCTAACCTAACTTATTCTCTGCTGCTGATACTCAACTTAACTGGTTTGGTTGAACTAATTTTAATAGTTAAAATTTAATAATGAGTTCACTAATTGACTCAGAACTTGGATGTTTGTACGCAGATCTGGCACAAAGCACTTGTTCCCATGATAAGATTTATTTTCACTTAAGTTTCTTTCCGTGTTGGACTGAATTCCAGACAAGCCAATTATTCTCACTGACACGCCTATTAAAAATAGTTAGTTTCCTCTCTGGCTTTAAAGGAATTTGGAAAAACCTGCTTCAAGCAAAACATGCTGTGTGTAGTTGATAAGGACAGACACACATCGACATAGACAAACTGAATAAAACAGCAGTCCCATGTTTGCATCATGGTGCAATAGCAACAGGTAATTCGCAGCATTTGTCCCTAGATGGGCTTTTAAAACGTAACTCTAAAAATTGAAGTGATAATCATTTAAAATAGCACAACATAATGTATACAAACAGAGAAATGTTTTTGGAAATCTCATAAATCAAGTAGAACCTTTAGCATATACACGTAGACCGATGTGACACCAGCTAATCATTAATTGAAGATGCTAAAGTCATTCAGAAGTATTTTGAATAAAATGCTTGTATCTGTTTATATTATGCTTCTTTAAGAGAATTTTAGAAAAAAAAGACCCATAAAACTCTCTAAAATGAGTTGTATGGGTTTTTGAAAACAGAATAAATCGAGTCAGTGCAGTCCAGACCGCTGCAGGAAATCTCTCCTGCCAACAGCTATCATGATCTTCAATAACTCTCTGAATAATCTAAATTAATGAGTTATACCAACATTTAATTTCCCTTTGGGATTAACAGAGTACTTTTGAATTTGAGTTTGACCTATATATTTAAGAAATAAAATTGAACCATCCAGTACTTTATTTGTTCATGTAGATTTTATTTTTTTTTTTGTTTTTTGTTTTGGTTCAGAGTTGAGGAAAAAGGGGCAGATACTATAAGATTTTTTCTTCTTTCTGCTACCTTTCATTTCATTTTTTTTCAAATACATATGTAGTATGTTTGTCAGTGTATATATTTGTGAAATGTATACAGATGGATATGTAGGTATGTATGGATGGAGGTGTATTTTCTTTTTTTTTGTATACTAAAAACTGTTAGGATGTTTTCTTTATTTTTTTTCTTTTTTCTCTGTATTGAATGAAATGAATAAATTAAAAAAAAAACATTATTTATTTATTTATTTATTTTTTGTTTGCTTTGAGCATTAGTGAAACGAGTTTACTTGAATAGAGAGAGACAAAAACCGACCGGCTTGATCTGACGTTATTTTTTGCCTGCTGAGATAATCTGTGCCAATAAGTGCTAGGAGGGTTGAAGATGAGGATTATAGTTTCCACTCTGGTCAGGACACGAGCCCTAAGCCACCTTGTGCGTCACCACTGCTCACCACATCTCCAGCTCCAGCTTTGGAGGAAGGTTTTAAAACGGCCACAAGGAGTGAGAGTAGCACACCTTTAGAAAAGCATAAAAAGCAAACTTCAGGTTCAGATTTACAACATTTTAATTTCCACTCGTTGCTATTAGAGATGAACCGATAAGAGATTTGTGCCTTAGCCTGCAGTACATTGAGAAGCGTGTACATGAGGATGATTGTCAGCGCTAGGGCCTTCCTCCTGGCTCCGATTGGTTGTTTTTGACCAGGAGTGGTGCATTTTTGCCAATCGCTCAGAGAGGTGGAGCAGTTATATTTTTTCACAGATTATCTGACTCATACCTTGCTGTCACAACATAGTGACAACTCTAACAAACATATATAAAAAACAGATTTTTTTTTATAGCAAACTGTAGCAAACTGCCCAAACTGTACTAATGACCCTCATGTTATATATATCAAAACCTGCCACTCGATCTCAAGAAGGTACCTATATCTTTAGTGCCATTTGGAGTAACCATGGCGACAGAATCAGTCAAAAACCACATACAAGGATGTTCTGAATCCACTATTTTTGATGATTTGCTGTGTCACCACAGTTTCAGTTACTAGTATTATTCAACATTAAGTTTTTAGATAAATCTGTGCTCCATTCAAACATGAAGACGGTATGTTGATACCTTTTAGGGTCTTTCCACTAAATGCCTCTAAGTTTGCCCCAAAGTTTGATGGAAATATTCGATTTTAGAGTCTAACCGACATTAATTGCCCATCATCTACTGTGGGGAAGCCAGTGGGTTTTGTTTTCACTGATAAAGATTATTTATTTATTTATTTATTTTTTTCAAATTCAAGAAATGTGTTTTTATGTTTTTTAAATATGAGGACCTGATTTTAATATTAAAAATACAATCTGATCTGGAAGATCTTTTTGCTTTACTGGGCATGCTCCTCGTTTTGATCTTCTTGTACCCGTCTTTCTGGGTAAACAATGTTGCCTGTCCTGTCAGACTTTGAAAACCCTGCCGACACAAAAACACGGAAACAGCTGAGTCCAGCCTCGGCTTCCCTTCTGGATTTTATTTCTCTCTTCCTTCCTCCAGACTCCTCTGCCGCTGCCTTTGTTTGCTTTCCCTCATCGCCTCGCAGGGTTACCACCCAACAACCTGCTTTGGAGGCTCCTGATTGGTGGACTCCTGGTGTCGGGGCGGGCCGAGCGTCAGGCTTGTGAGGGTTTTTTTTTTTTTTACCAGTGGTGAAGAGGCTCTCGGCTGTCAGAAAGCGGTTAGTCTACAGCGGAGCTGGATATCTCTCTGCTGGTCCCGTCTGCTGCAGCAGCAGCAAAGATCCGTGGCATGACCCTCTGAAAAGCGCTCCTCTCGTTCTTCTCTGCTTCAAGGGCTGCCTGGGAGAGAGTTGAGAGGAATAAAAATCGGCGGATTTCTCTGCCCCGTTTCCTCTTTTCTTTGTTGTGAACCAGCAGCGTCCCCCCGAGAGCCGAGCGGATCATCACAACATCAGCCTCTGAGGACACCGTGGCAACATTTCGCAACAATCCGCAACCTCAATGCGACACACAAGGTCTTCTGATCAGGAGATCTGCAGCCCGTGAGCGTCCCTGAAAGACAGAGTCTCCTCCGGCCCCGAAAAAACGGACCCTCCACATTCGTTCATGGGTGTGTGAGGAGGCTTATGCCCGCCGTAGGGTGGCCGGTGCCAGAGGAGGATGAGTCCGGCTGTGGAGGCTCAGGCCCAGGAAGACATGGATGCAGAGCAGAAGCAGAAGCAGCAGCAGCAGCAGCAGCAGAACCAGCTGCAGCACCAGCCGTGCTACATAGAGAAGGGAGTGATGCTTGAGCCCTTTGTGCACCAGGTGGGGGGGCATTGCTGCGTCCTGCGCTTCGGGGAGCAGACCATCTGCAAGCCCCTCATTCCCCGGGAGCATCGGTTCTATAAGACTCTTCCCCCTGCAATGAGGAAGTTCACCCCACAGTACAGAGGTACAGAAATGAGCATTTTTGTGAGCATTTTTCTAACCTACACTGTCGTTTAAACGCAACACTCCTTTTATTTATTTTGGTTTATCTGCATGACTTTGGATTTTTTTAAATGATTATTATTATTTAATTCAAACGTCTTATTAGCTGGTGCAGGTCCTGCATGAGAGACGGATCAGTAGATTGTTGTGAGGCACTTCCTACAACTACAGATGCGTTGTTTTTTAAGAGGCTGCCAAAAATGACCAAGTTTCTCCACAAGAGGGTGCCATAGCTGGCAGCCGGCTGGATACCATTATTCCCCGTCTGTTGTTTATTACTGTTTGTAATAAATTAGGCAAGTCAGTGTGAATAGGTGGGAGCCGTTGTTTGTTGGCAATACAAGAATCCATGAAGCTGCTGGGCGAAAGGCACCGCAAAAGATAATGTTGTAGCTGTTTATGATATAAGCAAAGTTGGGATGTTGTGAAAATACACAAAAGTCCCGAGGTTACTGTTCTGGAGATGAGGAACGTTTGAGAACTCTGTGAAAATTAGCTCTATTTTTTAAAATCTATTTTTACAGGCACGTCTCTGTATGTGTTTCTATGTCCTCTGAGTTAATTTTAGACTCGCAGATGACGAAAACAGCCGACTTTGAGTCATCTATAGCTGCTTCACTCAGTAATGGCCGCCGCACTGAGAAGTGTTTCTGTCAGTGACGCCTGGAGCTCACACAGATGTGTTTAGCAATCGGGAAAGTATCAGACTGTTGAGTTTCCAACCGGTCAATCACTGAAAGACCGGACAAGAAAGTAGTCTCAAACATATATTTATTTCTATTTTATTTATTGTTGAATGTATGTCTTGTTGAAGCAGATCTAAAATGTTTATGTTCTCTTTTTTTTTTATTTGCTCCCCGCATCTCAGGTGTTGTGTCAGTCAGCTTTGAGGAGGATGAAGAAGGGAATCTTTGCCTCATCGCCTACCCCCTGCACAGCGACCTGCCCACTGACGTCGAGAACAAAGACCCCTCCGCCGATTGTGATCCCAAGAGGAAGATGCTCCAGCGCGGCCAAATGGTCACGTCCGCACAGATATTGGAAAGCGAAATCTACAGCAAGGACGGCCGAGGCCACCACTTTCGAAAAGGCCAGGACAAGAGGTGAGGCAGGAGCCGACGCTCGTCAAATTTAAAACGACGCACAGTGACCGTGAAACGTCTCCACGTCCGGTTAACTTAAAACTCTGCGTTTTGCTCAGGTGGCCCTCGCTGCAGGACTACCTGGAGATGGAGCAGCCGCAGCAGGTGGACGTGCTCCACTACAGCCTGGAGCACAGTCACAGTAACGCCGCCCCGCAGCTCGAACACAACCCCTTGATCCTCAAGTGTCAGCAGCAGCATTTGCAGCGCATGAAGGAGAACGCCAAGCACCACAACCAGTACAGTATCCTTCAATGTCGCGACGTTTCCCAGCCTCTAGATCGGATCTGAATGTCCACAGATGGGTATCGGGTGGTGTTGTCCTTTTCTAAGAAGAAAAAAAAAAGTGCCCTTCTGAGATCTTTTTTTTTTTACTATTATTACAGCGTACAATGCGTATTTGTAAATTAACAGCCTGAAGGTTGGTTGTGAGTCTACCTTTGACTTTTTTTTTGAGTTGCTTTAATGAAAGATACCATCAAAAACAAAGCTATTTATTATTTTCTTGTGTGAGTGTATGGAAATTGGCAGCCAGATTTAACAAGTCGTGCAGGAGGCGCTGTCAAAAACCCGCCGCCGGTTCCAAGGTGCCCTCAGTTTCTCCTTGAGCACCCCACCCACGAAAACGTCTGTGAGCACCACTGCATTTACCCGCAGCCTCGGCTTGTACCTGAACTCTGCTATCAGTTTCCTAGCAGAACGGATGTGTTACGCAATCACTGCCATCGGTTACTTGATAACATCATGATCCGATGTTCTGGTTATAATGATGCGACGAATCGGAAACCTTTGGTCTTTTTTATCATCAAGCCGTATAGCGAGGGTGCCAGTTTCTTTTTATTCAGGAATTACGTTCTACAGCTATATCCTCCTTAACCCGGTGTCTCAGAGTTCATCCTGCTGGAGAACCTGACCTGGCGGTACACGATACCGTGCGTGTTGGACCTGAAGATGGGAACGCAGCAGCACGGAGACGACACCCCTGAGGAGAAGAAGGCCATACGCATCCGTAGGTGCCAGCAGAGCACATCGGCCACCTTAGGGGTCCGCCTCAGTGGCATGCAGGTATGAAGAGTCATACTTGTTTTGTTTTTTTGGGGGTTTTTTTGAGGGTGGGGGGGTTGCTGTTAAAACATGACATCACTACTTCATTGATTCCTTTTTATTTTATTTTTTGCCTGCCACCAGGGCCAAAGGGCTTACAGGGGGAGGACTCACTTAGCATGTGGTGTTTTTATCAAAATATTTTTATTTATATTATTTAAACTACACTCAAATATTTGAAAATTATCATATTTCTTGGACCAGCAAAAAAAAAAAAAAAAAAGTTTTAAACCAATTTGGACCCTTCAAATGTTCTGTAATTTGATCGATCAAATGATATTATTTTCTGGGAATAAGGCACCAAAAACTTGCTCTAGCCCAGGGGTTCTTATTCTTCCAAGTCCGGCCCTGCCTGCCACCAGCAGACACTGAGTTTATCTTACCTTAAAACTCTAAGAAACAGATAGTTGGTCTACATTAGGCATCCTCTGAACACCAATATCTAGCTATAATTATTTCTGTTTTAATTTATTTTATTTTTTTTTACGGGAGAGTATTATGTAAAATCAACTTTTTTTATAATGTTATTCCCTCATCAAAACACAACTGGAGTGTTGCCTTGATTCTTTCATGCATGTTTAAAAAGTCCTTTAATCTCCCACGGCAACCATTCAGCCATGAAAAACGCCTCGTTGGACCAAGCCCCGCCTTCAAGTCGCAGCTCCTCCTCTGAGCTTCTTGAAGGCAGAGTTTCAGAAAGAGCAGGAGATGTTAAAGAGATGGAGGCCCAGTTTTAAGCCGATAAACCAAGAAGTAAAACTCCTTTTAAGTTTGATAGCACTGTTTATAACAACTGAAAGTAACATAGTTGTTTGATTATGCTATAAAACAAAACAAAACAAAAAAAAACACATAATACTAAAATATGAAAATAACATCTTTTTGCAAGGTATATTCACAGGAAAAAAAAGAAGAATGTTCTAATTTTCTCCTTTTAAAATCTTTCGCTCTCTGCAGGTGTACCACTCTGACTCTGGCCAGTTCATGTTCATGAGCAAGCTCCACGGCCACAAGCTGACCGTGGCAGATTTCAAAGAGGCTCTGTTCAAGTTCTTCCACAGCGGCCGGCGCCTGAGGCGGGAGCTGCTCTCGCAGGTGCTGAGCCAACTCAGGGAGATGCAGGCCGTCCTGGAGTCCTGTGAGTCGTACCGCTTCTATTCCAGCTCCCTGCTCATCATCTACGACGGGGAACAGCACAGGAGACACTTCTCCAGCACCGAAGACGGGCTCTCTGAAGGCGAGGAGGAGGACGACAAGGAGGAGGAGGATGAGGAAGAGGTGGAAGCTGAGCCTAAAATGGACGAGGACGAGGATGAGGAGGAGAGCGAAACGGAGGGCGCGTCCGGCTCTCCTCACTGCCCGGCGCCATCTAGCGACAGCAGCAGCGGCGGCAGTGGGAGCTCCAGCATCAGCCAGTCCTGCTCGGACCTCCGGAGCCCTGTGGTGGATGTGAGAATGATTGACTTTGCTCACACCACCTGCAGACATTACCGCGAGGACAGCGTGGTCCACGAGGGCAAGGACAGCGGCTACATTTTCGGCATCCAGAACCTGATCACCATCATCTCTGAGCTGGAGAACCACAGCACAGACTGAGCAGTCAGACGAAAAACACATTCAGGCTCCAAGCCGCGGACTCAGAGCCTCGGTCCCAGGACAGGACTGCTGTAGCTGTTTCTTTACCTCCTCCTGTTTTCACCATTGGTGCTTTTCTTTTTCTCTTTTTTTTTTTGGTGTTACCATTGGGACTGGCAGCCAACCAAGAGTAACAGCAAAGAACTGTCTTTGTGAACGTCCCGTTTTAACCACAGTAACCAATAAGAAGAAGGGGGACGACCGTGGATACAAAGCCATTGAAACGTCTAAGATCAGCAGGTGTTCTCGTGTCAGATTTCCAAAGAAAGTGTCATTTTGCACACCCACTGACACACACACACACACACACACGTGGACATGCTCTAAAAAGGGAGTGTGTGTTCTACCGAAACAGGGAGAAGCAGACGACGGAAAGTGTGAGGAGAGAAGCGGCTTTGGTTCTTCTTCTACATGTTCATCCTGCCGTCGTCGTCTCCTAAAGCGAAACAAATCTCAGAGAGTTGATAGAGAGATATTTATTTATTTCATTTGTTTCATAAAATAAACTAAAAATGTCAACAAGAAAAAAAAAGAATATGTATGGAGGCTAGTACATTCCATATTATTAATGTTAAAATAATGATATTGATTAATATTGTTATTTGACATGGTTTGATACCTCTCCCTCGTTTGTTTGCTTGTTTTTTCCTGTGTTGTCCACGATTTCTTGGAGGCGAATTAAAACCTTTGTGGTAGCAGCTTGTCTTCTGTTGTTTGTTAACCTTGTAAGGGAACAAATGATTAAGTAGATTTGAATGCAGCAATCAAATTTTATGCAAACCTTCTCCCAGTGTGAGGCTGTAGAAACCAGAATCTATGAAGTCAGATTCATTTGTACCTCACATGCTTAGAGACTTAAGAAATAAATAAAATACCTCCAGGATCTACTTGTATTCACAAAGGTTCAAACACCCTCGTCGTCTTTGAATATCATTTTCACTTTGGGCTTTTTGTTGATCTGATCTTTAAACAGGTTGGTGTGATTATGCGACATAATAACAGGATGTTATTACGTTACGCCCTCATCAAAGAAATACCTCGAGCGATGCTCTGAATCTTTCATGCTCCTTCAGACTAGCAGCAGCAATTAGCAAACATCTGGTGGAACTGTGCATCTGCTGAGCTTATAAGAACTGCTTCTCAGTCCAACGCTCCTAAGAATGGCGGCAGCACTTTATTTGAAGGGGTGTGCATAAGACTGACACTTCATATTTATTTTATAAATATGACATAACACCTGTCTTGAACATGAAGGTGTTTTTATGAATGTTTACAACTGTTGTCAGGAAGTGTCATTTGGTAAATAACGACACTTTTAGTGCAAAGTTTTTACCAGTGTTTACCAAATAATACAAAGTCGGCACTTTAAATGCGACTTTTAAAGCAACTTTGCATTAAATGTGTCATTATATAGGAATGACACTTCACAGTAACGGTCATAAACATTCATAAAGACTCCTTCATGTTCATAACAGATGTTATGTCACTTTTATGACAGTGTCACGACAGTCTAATGCACACTCCTTCAAATAAAGCGTTACCAGAACGGCTGTAAACGGCATAATGAGAAGCATTGTTGTGGTGTGCTGTGAACATGGAGTGTCGGAAAGAGTAGAAGCTTCTTAAAGAGACGGAGATCAATTTCCAGGCGTCAAATTGCAAAGTCAAATTTCTCCTTGGCCCTTTAATAATTTCTTAAAACAAGAATTTACATTTATTGTGATGTTTTGCTAATTCATTCAGGTCAAATATAATAATACAGGAAAAAATATATGCATACCAATAGTGTTTGGGTAAATGTCCCAAGTTGCAGAAAAGAACTTGACTTTTTTGATCAAAATGTTTCTGGCAAAATTCTGGCTGGAAATTGGACCAAACGGGTCGTCTTGCTCCAGAAACCAGTTTTGTTGTGTTTGTTTGGGATCTTTGCTCCTGTTGGAGCATCAGTGTTTCACTCATCGAACCCAAACTCTCACCTTGCTCTGGCGAAAGTTCTCCAACAGTGTCCGAACATTTTATGACATAAAATTTGATGTCATTTTATGTAGTAAAATGAAGTAAAATGAAATTTTATGACAAAAAATATCATAAAATAGTTCATGACATTTTTTTGTCATAAACCAGGAGATGCTGGAACAAAGATGTCACTTTCTGCATCGGACTGAGTTTGACATCACCATGCAAGGAGACTGGTTCTTACTCCAAAATTGATACCTTCTTCAAGCTTAACTGAAATTTGCAGCTTCCTGTGTGCATGAGGAGCAAACGTTTAGCTGCTTGGCAATAATAAGATTGTTTTGAGGAGTCAAACACTGCGCCAGCTGTTAGGCATGACTATGACAGCATTCAGCATAAGAAGTAGGAACACATTTTAACATGTGATGCAAACATATCAACCCTATATATGTCTGAGGCATTTATCCCCTCAGCCATAAGGAGTTTTTACTACAGACAGTAGCTGTGGATTGCTCCAGCAGGAGGCTGGTGACGACATTCCCTCCCCATCCCCAGGCCGCCTCAGCCAGCCTCAGCCAGTCTCAGTCATCGCCAGCCAGTCTGAGGCAGACGGCGACATGAAGGCGACTCATCTGCTCTGGGAGTCACAGGCGCATCAGTTGTTTGCGTGGAAAAAAAAATAAAGAAAGAAACCAGTTCATAAGCAGATGAGGGCTTGTGTCAACAGAGTGCAGAGGCCATTAGGGCGCTGAGAAACGTGCCAGACTGCTGGTACAGATCCACCAGAGTCACAGAGATCAACTCGCCCTGAGAGTGTGGCAGATCTACAATCTACAATAAATTTTTAATGAATATGAGTTACAACAACATTTACATTCCCTTTGGGATCAATAAAGTACTTTTTTAAGTTGAATTGAATTATATTTTATTTAGTCAGTGAGGAAAGAAATGCAGTGATAAGAAGTAAATGTTTCTTACACAAATCATTGAGGTCCTGCTAACAATTCATTTCTAATAAATATAACTGAACCATTTTTGTAGTGTATGCTTGACTTTTTAAGATGGTCTAAGGACATTTAATTAGTAAATATGCAAAATAGAAACCCAGTTCTGTTACCCGCTCTTAAAAAATGGGGGAAGACAAGAGAATATGTCTAAACATGTTTGTTTGTTTTATTTTTCGGTCTTATTAGAAAATGACCTAAAGAAAATGCATTTGTAGGTACCTACAGTTTCAATGGCTAAAATGTTCATAACATCTTGAACTTAAAGACCAAGAAGACTGGATAAGGATGCAAGTTAATTTTATACATCTATATAATGTGTTCCTATAAGTCAGAAAATAGCATTACTATGTTTTTTTATTAAATTTTTGTTACGTCTGTACATTTTGGCATGTCAAACCTCGGAAGTGAGTATGTGTGTGTGTGTGTGTGTGTGTGTGTGTGTGTGTGTGTGTGTGTGTGTGTGTGTGTGTGTGTGTGAATGAGTGAATAAGGAACATATTATGAAGTATTTCTAGTCTTATATTTTTCCATTTTCTGTAATTATCCAGTCAGAGTAATAGAGCATTGTGCTCCACTGGTGAGGCACGTTTAGTTTGTTGAGATGCTGATCCCTTCAGCTGTGGGTCAAACCCTTTGTGAGTGACACAGCCGAAGAGTCCGGGTCAGGGCAGCATAGGAAGAGCACATGCTGTCCTTGATCGGATATCGCTTTTGATACATTTTTTTGACATGAAAGGTTTAAAAAGTACATATATAAAACAGCAGACCTAATTTAAGTGACAAGATTTCAAATCTATATTCAAATTAAAAAAAAAAAAAAAAAAAGCGTGCAGATTTGGTATAAAAATGGCTTCACTGCACCCTTATGAAGTCTCTCATGTTTCGTCACATTACAGCTAAAGCGCAAAGTAGTGCATGACTGTGGAGTGGAAGGAAAACTTTTCTCACATATTGTTGCAAATTAAAACAGGAAGACTGTCCTCGTAACGCCAGTGGCTCAGAAAAGTTTTCTGAGAAAAGCTTGCAGGCCTGCTCAGAACAGGCTGTATTTATACCGCCATTAAATCTAATTGACCTAATCTAGTTTGACTCCTGGGGACATTTGGCTCCACTGGATCTTACTCAGAGGTGTAAGAATGAGAAAGGGTTCGAAATCTAAACGCACGCCACATTTTTCACAAAATTCTAAATTATGCACGACTTTTGTGTGAAATCTTAAGAAAATGCACCGAGGTTTGTGCTGTGGTTGCAACGAGACAAACAAATTCTTGGCAAAGCACTGTGTCCAGTCGATGCTTAAATGTTGCGCTTTGATAGAACAACAGATGAGAGGATGGAGAGGTAGCAGATACGCTCATCCCTCGCCACGCTGCTGGTAGGAGTGGGGGGAGGGAGAGTGTAAGCAGTGTTACATAACAGCCTCGGGGTCAGTGGGCTGCCAGCTCAGTAATCCCATTCTGTCACCGCTCCGTGTGCCGCATCCGTCCAGGCCTGCGCCCCGTACATCTAATAAGTTTCATCGCCTTTAAAAGAAAGAAACATAAATGAATAAAAACACATTTCTTGACTTATTCCGAATCACATGGGAGCCTGTGCATCACTACAGTGGAGTTTGCCACCACAAGTGGAGCTCTTGCATAACCGCGGGTAAAGTCACTATGGCAACAGCAGTCGAGTTTAAAAGGGTGTCAAATTTTTTCTTTTCTTTTCGGTCCCTGTAGTCGCATCCTCGTTCTTGAAAACGCCGCACCGTCTGCCCTCATCCTTCATTCATTAAATTCACTGACTCCTCTGCAGAGGAATCGAGTCGAACGGCTGCGTGCCGTGAGCTGCAGAGTATAAGTGCAAAACGAAATCCTACTAAAATGCTGTGCAGGTCGATATCTGAAGCTTTCTCCTGAGTGTCAAAGTAGCATGGGAAGAATAGAAAACTTCTGTAAAGTTCTGCAGTCTTAAGAAAACACACTGCAGTTCAGGAACTCGCCCTGGCCAACGGCTGTTCGCTGCAGGATCCGTCCTTGACCTTTACACTTATGGACATCTGAGCCAGCATGCAATGTTGGGAAAAACACTGAGGTTTCTATATTTATTCCTCTAGGAAACTACTCTGGTCAGGTGTTTGTGCCTCTTCCGTATATAAACTCTGTAGATAATTTGCTCAGTCAGTGTCCATTTGCGTTAAATCTTGTTGAATACTCAAACAAACCGTCTGTATGCGCTCTTTGTATTCCGACTGTTTTTTCACGCACGCTAACTGGTGAGTTTTCCATGTCATCGCTCTGTTGCCTTAAAGGTGGCCGACCTGGGAGAATGAAGCGACCTGAACGTAGCAAGCAAACCTCAACTCTACATAAAATATTGTTGAATCTCATTCTGGCTGCACTATCCTGTCTGCCCTGATGATGATTCACTCATCTCTGCATGCTGGATGCATGAAAATGAAGGTGAAACTGTTGGCTTGATGTTTTTTTTTTTTATTAACTTGACTAATAAAATAATTTAGGGTCGCACATAAAGCATTGCAGTTTTATTATGGGGTAATCAGTTGAATCTTAATTATAAAAATTATAAAAACAATCCACATCCTTGGTCCCGATGCCTGTGCACCATTCGGAAAGGGGGCACATCAAAAGCAACATCCAAACTCTGGAGGCATGGCTGGACTTGATTTTCCACAATTATCATGAACAATATTTAAAACTAAAAACATAAATATGTGATTAAGAGGTGTTATG